GGGCAGAGAATTAGAGCAGCCCCACTTCTTTAAACAGCCTAATGTTTAAAAACACTTTGCTTGCAAATAATTGTACCTAGGTTTGGGACTTGCTTCCATTGCACATTTTATCGCCGGAGCATGGGGGTATTACATTAATCATGATAACAGTGTCAGCAACGACAGCAGTACGAGCCAGTGATACTAACACATTCGTTACTATGGGCCAACCATGATTCTAAGTGCTTTACATATCTGACTTTAAAGTAGTCATCATGTGTATCTAATTTTCAAAAGGTTACGCAGCTTGTAAAGGTGAAACTGAGGTACAGGGAGAAGGACAGAGGAAACTGACAGGACAAGGGCGAGCACAAACAGAAATAGCTTTATTAGGGGGCGCGCCAGACGAGGTTCCGTGACCTAGGCCAACAGCAGTCGGGTGGTAAGGAATGTCCGGCATTTATGGACAGGGTTTGGCTACTCGGAGAATTGCTTGTTGACTCCTTGTGGCCTTCTTTAAACCCGGAGCATCTGGGCTCATGGGTTATCTTATATCTGGCGCTCTCTGTTGCTGACCTTGGGGGCATGCAGGGAAGCTGGGGGGCCCTGACCTGCTTCAGCTCAGCCCAATCACAGCTTAAGATCGAGGGAGCAGAAACAGGCAGGTCTCACCCACCTCTATTTGAAACTGATACTAGAAATCGCCAACAGCAACAAAACTAGAGTGAAAAAGACCCAACTTAACCCAACAAGCACTGCCACAGAGTCAATTCCAACTTGAGTGACTCTGTTGTTAGGGGGTCTTTGAATTCGTTTCTACCCACAGTGGCTTTATGCACTACAGCACAGCCCTGCACAGTTCTGCACCCCCTATGCTTGAGCCCCTTACTGCAGCCATGGTGCCAATCCATCTCCTTGAGCGCTTACCTCTTTTTAGCTGCCCCTCTACTTTACCAAGCAAGATATTCTTCTCCAGGGACTAGCCTCTACTGACAACTTTAGCAGTCCATGGTACATTCAATATTCTTCTCCAGGACCACAATGGAAATGCATTGATTCTTCTTCTTTGATATTCTTTATTTAAATGTCCAACTTTCACGTCCATATGAGGCAATGAAAAACACATGGGCTTGGGTCAGGCCAACCTTAGTCCTCAAAGTAACATCCTTGCTTTTTAATACTCCAGGTTAGATAACCTGTCTTGTGCAGTAGATTTGTCTAACGCAGGTACTCGTCTTTTAATCTTGACTGCTGCTTCCATGAGCACTGACTGCAGATCCAAGCAAGGCAAATCCTTGACAACTTTAACTTGACTGCAGATCCAAGCAAGGCAAATCCTTGACCACTTTAACTTGACTGCAGATCCAAGCAAGGCAAATCCTTGACAACTTTAACTCTTTCTCCACACATATTGGTCCAGTTGTGAGGATTTGGTCTTCTCTTATTGAGTTGTAAACTATACTGAAGGCTACAATCCTTGATTTTCATCAAGTGCTTCAAGTGATTCTGAGACTACAAATCTTTAGGGAAGTAGACAGCGTCATCTTTCTCCTACAAAGTGACTGGTGAGTTTGAACAACTGACCTTGAGGTTAACAGGTGAATGCTTACCTGACAGCCCTACCTGGGCTCCTTAATAATCCAGTTAGCATGGCTAGTTTAGATAAATTTATAACATAGGTATAAAGCACTGAATACAAATTTGAATTCTAGAATAACTGTTAGGAAGGCTTTTTTTT